TATCCCTACTTGATGCAGCTTAGCTTTAGCTGATTGCAAGTTCTCTCAAAATATATACTTCCAGAAATTATGAAATTAAGATTATCAAGATTTTTATAGTTCATAATATAAATTTCATGATTATTTACTAACTGACTCTACATTTCTAACTGCACTTGCTATTTTAGAATCTTAATTAGTACCCATTCCATTTGATTAGTTATCTATGCTATTAGTATCTTTTTAAACTTTTAAATTTATCTAATGAGATCTACGAGCTCCTCCGAATATACTCTATCTCTCAGGCTCTATTGGTTCATTCATAGATTCATTATTATTGGTCTTTGATATCATATTATTCCTTTATTTCATGATCAGTTGTTTTCTGTTAAGTATATCATTAGCCTAACTTTACTTAATTCTATTGATTCTATGAATAATTGCAGAAGTTTTATAATCAACAGACTACTCAGTTTTTGATTAGTTAAAAGAATCGTTTATACTCTCATTTTACTAATTTAACTAAGACTTCAGAGGTGCATGAACGCCCATAAAAGATGATTGGTCGTCAATTGTGATATTTTCTGAATTCTTTATTCTACTCAGTCTTTGCTATCTATTGAGAGCAAGCGCTGTTCTTAGCCTCTCTTAATTTGGTTTAAGGTCAGTTGGATTATTATGATTTCCTATTCTTACTCTATTAGCAGTATTAGCTGTTGCAGCTCTAGTTGAGCCATTAAAGTAAGTGTTAGATTAAAGATTTCTAGATTGAGATAGATTAGACTTAGAGTTCGGTAGTGGTATTCCAAATTAGTTTGCAAATTACTTGAAATCATCACTAACTTCTGTTATAAACATACTTCTGTTATTGTTGTTTTTTTAGTTGATACTTGATTATTTAGCTTGTTGCTAGCTTTAATCAAAAGTAAAGTAAGATTTATTTTTATCCTGTATGGTTTGGAAAGTCATATCCTCCTTTCCATCAAGATATTCGCGCATATCATTATCATTTGAAACCACAAGTGTCTTCTAATTATCTCTAAGTAAAGTACTCACATCATCATCATTAGTAGTATGAATCTGACTAACTTCATTTAAAAGCTATTTTTAGGGCCTTCTTTTGCCTTGGTGCCTAGTTATGCTTTATCTTTTCATGCTTTCATTGATATTATAGTCTAAAGTATGAAATTTCTTCAGTCCTACAAAGTTTTCAGCAGTCTTGGACCTTTCAAATTAAACTTCTTCTTATATTTAGTCTTAATTTACTGTGTTAAAGTTTAGCCCTTCACCTCTATTTGTCTCTATATTTTGATTTTTCAAATTTTTGCTGCCTAGACCATTCTAAACCTCAATATTGGAGTTGCTCTCACTCAAGTAATGAAGTAATTGAGGCATCGGATGAGGTTTATTTATGATATTGAATTTTTCCTAACTTTTCATTGGATGTTCTTTAAGTTTAACTTCTTTTTACTCGTTGATTTCTACTTTTTGGATAATAATCTCTTGCACTGGAATTTCTTAGTGCTCATCATGGTGAGTATAGGTAATGGCAGGAATGCTAGTAATTTGTGATGAAGCATTGTTAAGCATCTTGCTTTTAATCTTTTCGCCCTCTTTCGCAACAAGTCTTATCATCTTTTTCTTATCCATTTTCGGTATTGCGCATGTTCTGGCAGAACTATAAGTTAATTCTTTTACTTTAAGTCTCTCTATATCTTTCTAGTAGGCCTCAGTAGCTTCATCAGTATGAATCAAACTCTTTAAAACCATTTAAAATTGTCCATCGTTGTAATCTAAGGCCTCTCCCTATTTCCCAATCAGATCAGTAACTATTGCTCTTTCAAGATCCTTCTAGGCTTATTCCTCTTCCTTGTCTCCATAAAATCTCAATAGGTCTTTTTCATTTTAATGTATTCTCATAGGATATCCATCATTTTCAAGTCTCTTAAGAAACAAAATATTTTTCTTCTTCTCAAATGCCTATGCTTTCTTTATCTCATAGTTACTTAGGTAAACATTTTATTGTAATGAGTTTTTCTTATTTTTTTCTGAAGTACCATTTTGCTTCTTTGATATCAGAAATTTTTGTTACGCTTCATCTACTTTAGGCTTAATAACTTCTGATCCAAAGAAGAATTATTCTTGTTTATCTTTAAAGGCAACACTAGAACTAATATATGGCATATTTTGAAGCTCAAGAATTTTATGTTACCACAATTGCTATATAAGTTGCTGCTTCAACTTTATGATATTCTCTCGTTAAACTTGCTTTATAATTTCTTCTGGATCCATTTTAATTTTTTCTTAAGGGCCAACAGTTTTAGATCTTTTAGATATCTCTTAATCAATCTCTACTAAATTCTTATCCAAATTTTCTTTGTCCATCTTATTAACCTTGATCTTTGGCATCTAAGAATCTCTTAATGCATTTTCTGACAATTTAAACATGTTTCTCCCTTTATCTCTAGAAATGCTTGTAAAGAAATGAGAGTTTCTTCTTTACTTTCCCTTATTTGCATAGTGTTTAATACTTTTTAGACATCGCTTATTACTTTCATATGGTAGTAAATCTCTTAATATGTCCTTATGAGTTAAATTTGATTTAGAACCATAAATCATCTTAAAGTAAGGTTCAAAATCTTCCATATTTGTATAGAACTAAGGATCTAGTTTTTCTTTAAGATCATCCAAGCATTAATATGATACCTTGAATTTTCTTTCAGCAATCCTAGCTCTAAGTTGATCAAATGTTATGATCTAATCTCTGAATTTCATAAATAAATCCTTATCAGAGTCAAGTAAAGTTTCCATTATATCATTCAATGGTATTTTAGCAAAAAGTTATTCAAACAATCTCTCAGATACCTTTTCTCTGATCTTTTTATTCTAAATTATCTTATGAAAATCATAGTACTGGATGTTCTTAATTTTTTCTGAGAAAAGTTCATCAACTTGCTACTTAACTTTCCCAAATTTTTCAATAAACTACTTATCAGCTTCCTCTCTATCTTTATCAGTCTCTTGCTCACCAATTACTGACTAGAACCAGGAACTGTTAACTTATTTTTTTGGAGAGATATTTTCAATTTCTGAGATAATTGAAATGTCATTTAGTTTGCTATTTTTGTTTCCTAACATTAGCATATTTGCGGCATTAGAAAACTTTGTAGTCCTCTTCCCTGGACTTTGAATAGCTTGAATATTATGTTGAGTCAAGGTGAATTAACTAATTGCCTCCATAAATGAGTCAGCCGCTTTAATTGTCCCTTCTTATTACAAAGGCATATCTTAGTAAGGCTGAAATTTACTTTTGAGCGTTTCATCGAACCTCACAGAAAGAGATTTGTCTATTGCTTTTATGGGGCTCATTGACTATGATGCCTTATCTGCAATGATACTCAACTAATTTTTAATTCCAGATGACTCGTTTAGATTTTCTTAGGCTTCCCGTCTAGCTACTTCATCTGCTAAATCTTCCTCTAGAACAATTTTCTTTACTAAAGTCCTCTTTTTTATCTAACCAATTAGCATCGGATTCTTAAGTACCAATGCCTTTTCATTTTCAGCCTGTTTTCTTTTTTCTGGTATTAATTTTTGATAATAATTATTATGCTGTCTTGATAAAGATTTGGTAAATCTCTCTTAAGCTCTGTCGATAGACCAGAAACTACGCTTCATGTCTTGAAGTAGCTCATACAAACTTGAAAAATCGAAATCCACCTATTTGGATGATTGCATTTTTATGAAGAATTATAATTCTAATTCAAATGCAATAATTTAATTTCTCATTTCGATGATTATTGAGAGTACTGGGGTTTTGGGGTTTTGGGG